CAGGCGTCCAAGTTTAAACCCTGCTGCGTTGAGGGATGCAGAAAGACCTGTGGATGGTGCTCTCCGATACGTCCTGCAGGTATGCGACGCATCCCTACCATGGAATCAATCGTGGATGTATAAAGAGTGAAAGACAATTCAACGTACCAATGTGGATTTCACCGCTGAGAAAGGTCCCAGTGCAGACAACGACCTTGGAACACCTGATGACATCTCCTGTCTCTGGAAAAATAGACAGTGAGGACTTTTATTATGTGCAGGCATAGCGCGCGCACCTAGGCGGACGCCCGTAACGGTCCCCCACGTTGACGAGGATGTGGATGAGCAGGGACTGTTGTCAAACACAAGGTCAAACACACTCGCAGCACGTACATCCAGGTTTGTATAGCTAAAAATGATGTCTTGCATATGGCGCTTGTAGATTTTACGGTCTACCTGCGCTCTAGGTCCCTGTTTCTCAATTGCAGTCAGACAAGACGAGCATCATCCACCACTACTCACCCAAACAGCTGCACCCTTCGAAGCATTGAGCATGCGAAACTGTATCCCAGCTTTATCTGTATGTCAAGTCTCAGATATTTACAGTTTCACCCATTCGCAAGTAACGTACCTGCGATCCTGCCCATGAGGCCATCCAGAGCATCGACTTCCCTCACTAGTGTACCCTTTCCAACACCGCCAATGGAAGGATTGCATGAGAGCTCGCCCACAGTATCAATCCGCTGGGTTAGTAGTACTGTTCGTGCTGTACGGGCAGCACCTGTCGCCGCTTCACAGCCCGCATGTCCTCCACCGATAATACATACTGCAGAGAAGGTAAGCTGAAACATACAACCTGATAGCACACTACAGACCATCATAGGTATCTGGAATGTGTTTGAGTTTGAAGTTGCCGTGTGTAGGGCGCGAATACGCGCTTTTCGAGAAGGACTCGAGGGTAGCAGTCTTGTAGATGTGTCAGGTATACTGGCATGCAGCGATGTCGATGAACTTCCTGTACCAAGAAGCGCCGTTGCCGCAGTAGAGTAGCCCAGCTTCTTCTCGATAGCATATGCACCTGATGACGGTTTGCTGGGCAAGTGAAATTTCGAGGATACAGAAAACAATCTATATGTAGATGGGTATCCAACATCAGTCTTTGGAGGGGTAGCTTGCTGTCATGTACAAGGGCTCGAGACTGAGTTTGAGAGAAACCGTGACGCAAGTTGCTGAAGCTCTAAATTCCGCGCCAAATATTTGGGTCACACATATATCTCACGGGGGACTCCGACAACATATCCAAAAGAAGGATCTCTCTGAAAGTTTCATGTACAGCGAGATGCAACTTGCGATGTGGGAACTTTAACTATCATAGACTGTCACCTTCTCGTATAGACAGTGATTGATTGTCTAGGTCTCATGATCATGGAACTTCAAGTATAGTCTGTAAGATGAGTAGGGTGTGCGTTACGCTGAATCTATTGGTCTTATTAGCGCAGGTGTATGTAAAGGCCGTATGAGGCCATGGATCCAGCCGTCGCTGGGTGGACGGTGATTGGCACAATACATGGCAGACGAGTTGTGGAGGTCGATGTCAGTGAGCTCAAAGTTCCGCCGGGAATTGCCGTGAGTTCATAGTAATTTACTAACTGAACATGGACCATGCGACTGCCAACTGGCCTCACCCCTGGCCAAGGAGCCTGAGCTTAGCCAACATTAACAAGCACTCCTATGATATATTTAGTCTCAAATTCTACGCCTCGGATAACTAACTGTGAAGAGGCTCAACACTGGCTGAGGGCTCCCCGACAGGTGCCGACGACGGTCTTGCCGGCCGAAAGGTCGAAGCGAGATAAATTTCGCCATGATGATGATATGCAAAAAATTGTTCCCAAGTACATTCATCATGCCTGCCAATGTCGCCAACGCTGTTGGCGAGCAAGATACTACGAGAAAACCAATCAATCAATTCAAACTACTATTCAGGGATTCAGGGGTACCTTGTCAGGGAGCAGAAGCGAGTGTACGTGATGTTCTCGAGTCTCGCCAGCCTACATGCCACAAGGACTCGAATTCGTGTTCTAGATCTCCAACTTCAGTGAGCTCATAACGAAGTTTGAGGGCGAAACTCGGGATGAATTACTGAAACTCATAAGCTACACGGTGCATACACACTACGTCTTTTTCTGAATTGCCAGCCTCCAACCTATTCAGATAGTCCCTTGGTCTTTGACCCCCCGTAGTACTGGGCCAGTACGAGGGTGGAACAGTCAAGCTACCGCAGTCTTTATTCCTGGTCCGTGAAATTGCTGATATTACAAAAATCTCGTACCATCTCGAGCAAGGCTTATCTCTACTTGCACTCATAATGGTCTAGCGTGTATGAACCGGGTCAAGTCGGGACAGAAGGATACCACTGAGAAATAACGCCCAATGATGTTTCACATCATGAGGCTGTATAACTCGAAGAACAAGTAATTTGACTTCACATGGTCATGCGGTCGTACAGGCGCGTCCAATCCGTTGCTTTCTCATTTGAAGCCAGGGACCACAATCACACACTTACTGGACTGGGGACAGAATACCAATTAGGATGTATCACCTGGTCATAGATCGATGCATCAACTTCTTGATGCAACTGGAGTACATGCTGTATCGGTTTTAATCAGTGGCGCACCACCCTTTCCGTATATTGTTGTATTCTTATCGCATGATAGCCCTGGTACCAGCGGAGAGCGGGACGTGATTCCGCAGACCAGGTAGGAGAGGTGAGTTGGCTGGTTACTGAGTTTCGACCTATTCTATAACTCGTTTCTCAACCCCCCCGGACAGAATGTGACTTGTTAACAAACCTTTGATGAATTACATTCGCGCCTGGACCAACAAGACGGAGAGACTGCAGTCGCTCATTGAGATGGCAGGCTTTGCGATCTTCACACCGCCTGTATTAGATGGTCGACTACATTATTTCTCTGCTTTATTTCACATGAGGTTACTTAATTCGGTAAAGCGCAGCAGGAACAGACGCCCACCACCATAACGCCTACTCCAATGAAAAGAGCGCTGGGCCGGATGGTGGTGTATCCAGCACGAGCACGATCATTGTGCTTCACAAAGTTCTGTGCTCTCCCTTTATCTCAAACGATCCCAGTCTGTCGCCGCTGAATAATTTGCATCGTTTTTATCAGTTATTTCATGGGTTGGTAGAAAACCAGTTAGATGACGAGTCGGTGATGTGGTGATTTAATATTTAATCTTCACCGGGTTTCGATCGCAGTTTCCTCTGTTGCACTTGTTTACAATCTCGGGAAGCACTGGCGATTGTATAGTACTAAAGAACCATTCAGTAACAGATGTAGTGAGTATCCTGCCTTTGATACCTGTCCCGATGGCTCAATCCTATCTGCAAGGGCGAGTACGATTCCCGATAAGCCTGTAATGACTGCAACAGTTGTGAGTCTGTTTAGAGTTCATCTGAGGCTCAGCGCTCATTAATCATTACGAAAGGTTTTTCCAGGCAACATTTTGAACGCACTAAATTGGATAACTGTGAACGTAACTGCCATGCTGGATAGTGAGCTACCCAGGTGCAGTGGTATTCGCTTGACTGAAACATAATGCAAGTGGCTACGAGCGATCCAGAAAGAATGGGTCATGGTATCATTCATGTCCTAGTGAAGTCTAAACTCAATCACTCCTGCAGAGCGGCTGGTGACCATATATCCACAGTGATCCCCTTTCTCAACTGCAGAAATGACCTACTCGCATGTTATGGTAAGCGAGATCTTTGAAACACATCTTTCTCACATCAATGTGATCATCTCAAAGATATTATTTGCGAGCCACATTTCCCTCCACGTTGAAGAAGGCGAACGTTCTACTGATTGTCGCGGGCATCGGGTGGTCCCTTTGCTTCCTGTGAATTACCTGACCAGCAATGCGTGGCATCACTGACGATATCGGAAAGAAAACTTTTGGGCCTAGGTAGTTTTACTTTGTCAGCTGTCAAAGCTTCACCGCCCAGTCTTTTCGCGGGTCAGTGAGTTCCTGCTCTGCACATCCTACAGCCGCGATTGCGACGATGGTTTATCGCCGATGCGGCTTTAATATATAATGGTTACACGCTTTTTCAAGGGACATCTAGGGACAACCACGAGGTGAACGGGATGATGGATTCGGGTATGATGGTGTAATTTATCATTGTGAGGCCGACGCGCAACTTTATGATAATGCAACCAGTCCATGTAAACCAGGACACACATACACATGTTGTCCCCTATTACTAGGTGGCTATCTGAGTTGTGATGGACCTATATGGTGTAAGCGGGTGCTCTAATCTTTGCATGGCAGTGACATAAGTGGAATCCTTCTGTCATCGGACACCTTATACCGTTCGAACGCTGTAACGTCATGGTGCGGGTGATGCCTTGATCCTCATCTTTATACACGTGCCCTCATATGCTCTGATGGAAATCATACACGTACTTTTAGACACGAAGTGACGTAGACTGAGGCGAGGCTTATCGTTCATTCTTAATGGGAAAGGGAAATTTACATCCTGAAACAGTCCTGAAACATGATGGGAACAAGGGGAGGCGCCGCCGCTGCCAGATGTCTAGATTGTCTATGGTCCATATACCAGTACAAATGATCCGGTGGGTATGAGATATGCAATAATGACAATATAAATGAATTTCTCCTCAAAAGAGCCCTGTAAGTGTATTTGCCAGCAAATAGTGATCACATCAGTGTGAGTGCGCGTTCTTCATTCTTATCCATAAGCCACCCTGTGAAAGACAAGATGATGCAGCTGAAACACCAAAGCGAAGATAAGATAACGTACCTTGATGAAAAGCGTCATTGTAGCTTCGGGATAAATCGTCTCCACCCTTTGTCTGCCGCGACCCAACTTCCACTCCGCAGGTGGCGAGGAGGAAGGAGGTTGTGCATCCGTCGCGAGTGTAAAAGTGTCAAATCGCTGAAGCAGTCGCACAAGGAAGAATGATGCCTCATTGTATGCATAATTCTGACCGATGCACTAAAAGAATCCAAGAGCCGAGGTGTCAGTTTTTCTGTCAAATTGTAATCACGAAAGGAAATCCTACAATGCGTGGCCCTGCGCTAAATGGAGTGAACATCATCGGATTCGACGTGAACCGGGCCAATCTCTGAGGATCAATCCATCGCTCAGGATCAAACTCGTCTGCATCAGGTCCCCAAAGTTCTTTGTTGCGCTGCGTCAACAGCGACGAGTACCAGATTGCCGTCGACCTCGGTAAATATAACGGTTGCTGAGATTCGGTGGGATAAGTACGATCTGGCGGAGGGAGCGTGCAAGGCTGAGATCTTGTCTGTCGTGAATTCAACGGGACGGGCGGGTACAGGCGGAGAGTTTCGTCAAGAACGGCTTTGACTGACGAAACAAGGTCATTAAGTAAAATCACATCACATGAAATAAAACTCGCCATATTTGAGTTTACGAATTTCTTCGTGGGTAGGGACATTGTTGCCACACACGTCGAGTACCTCTTGCCGCATCTTGGCCGCGATGCCCGGATACAACGCCATGAAATATGTCACGTAGGTCAAAAGGCACGCAGTCTGTCAAGCGGAATTGTCTCATCAGAAATTGAGCGCTGAAGTGAGAAGAGGCACACACGGTGTCTCTAGCAGCCAATAGGACATTGAGCAGCTGATCACGAATCATTCCAGCGTCTATGGATTATCAACGAATGAG